TGCCAAAATGGTGGGAGGGATAGTTCAGTGGTTTGAGCATTGGCCTACTAAACCCAGGGTTGTGAGTTCAATCCTTGCAGAGGCCATTTGAGGCAAAAATTTGTCAGGAATGGTACTTGGTCCTGCTGTGAAGGCAGGGGACAGGGTTTGATGACTTTTTAAGGTCCCTTCCAGTTCTAGGAGATAGGCAATCTCTAATAATTATTTATTAGACTGATCTGGGTGCAGGCAACCAAGAGAGGGGGGTGTTCAATATATCTACATGTGACTAGATCCATCACGGGGCTTCAGCCAAGGCAGCAGTGACTCTGAGGAAGGGTTGGGGGCTAATCAGATGAACATGAGTGTCCGAGGCTGGGCAGAAATGGATGAGGGGACGTCACAGGCACTAGCACATCAAGAGGTAGAGAGAGGCCCCTGCTGCGCTTCCAGACATGCCACAGCCTGGATAGAACCAGGGATTTTAATCTAAGGCACTTGCCCCTGAGCTTCTGCTGACAGGTCAGGGGAGGAAGGCCAGGACAAGGCCCTTTCAGCCACTGGTCTGTGCAGGCTCGAGCCTCCTCCTACCTTTCCTTCCTGCAAAGCCTCCAACAGGTGCCTGGCCTGACTCATCGGGCTTCCCCAGGCTGACACCCATGGGCATTCTCAGCTGATGTCACCCCCTCTGTCATGTGGGAGTTGGGCTCATCCCAGGCAGCAGCAGCTGAACTTACCTGGGCACCCAGGGGAGCTGCAATAAGGGAAGAGCCTGCGTTTCAACCAGGGGCCTTTTGTGTCCTAGACAAAGACGATAACCACGACAGCACAGAAACACCTAGGAAAAGTTCTGCTGGACTTAAATTTGGACAAATAGTCTGCTACTAACTCTTGGCCAATGCTTTGGGGGAAAAGGCCGAGCAAGAGCAGGGAATAAGACACCCCCCTCCCCCCGCTACTTCTCTAGACCTTTGCTCCCAACACTGGGAAGGTGGCAGGGGCTTGGTGATGCAGGAGGGGTGACCCACGTCACCTTCCCTGTATGGATGGACCTTTGGGGACAGGCCCAGACTCCCCAACCTCTCACCCAGCTCCAGTCACACTCCAGAGCAGAGCAGCCCCCAGGAATAGGGCTGAGCCATGCAGTGGTGGGGAAGGGGCAGGACCAGAGAGTTTGCCTGAGACCGCAGCACAAGGCACCGTCCCAGGCATCGCTCTGACAGCGGCAGACTGGGAGAGCATCTCAGGGGTTGTACAGCTTGTTGCCCTGGTGAGGGGTGTGGCCAAAACACAGGCCTCGCTGTGAGCAAGATTTGAACCTGCACAGGGAAACCCTATTGGATTTTTAATCCAACACCTTAACCACTCGGCCACCACAGCTGTGAGAGACTCTTCTCCAGTACATAAATGTGGAGAAAAATTCTGTTACTAACTCCTTGGCTGAGGTGTGCACAGTGAGGTCACTTGCAGAGATGCAGGCTCTGGCTTCTCTGTATGTGCCTTGGCACCCATTACCCATCGGTACCCGCCACCTCCCACCCCCTGCCAGCACCCATACAGAAAGCCAGTGCACACGGAGCCAGCGACAGTAGCGAGGGAGGCAGCTGCAGCACAATTCCAGGCCTGGGGCACATTGAACAACTTTAGACCTCATCTACACTGCAGACTTCTGGCCCAAGAACTGCTCTTGCTCAAGAGCACATCCACACGGCCATGTGCTTTGGCCCAAAAGGGAGGAATAGGTCAGTGGTTTGAGCATTGGCCTCCTAAACCCACAGCTGTGAGTTCAACCCAAGAGGGGATTACCTAGGAGTCTGGGGCAAATCTGCCAGGGATGGTTCAAGGTACTGTTCTGCTCTATTGTTGCATAAATTTGCAAGGTTCGTCCCCTGGAGGCTAGTCTAATTTGCCCACAGAAGAGAGTCACACTTTCAGGCTGGGTCCAACTCAATTTTATTGCTTGCAAGCAAGGTTCGGCTAAGGAGCCCAGTGCTCAAAGCAAAGCCGACCCCTAGCATCAGGTAAGCAAGGGGTCTTATAGGGTTAACATCCTTCCTGGTTTATGTGCCTTAACATGATTGGTTACCTTATTTTGCTTCTAATATCCTTGGAAGTCAGGTTTATCTCCAAATAAGGTTAGCTGCACTATGCAAACCTGCTGACTCTGAGGTTACAGTTGTTTGTTACATTTATTCACTTGCTTAACAATAGGCGGGTTACACTTCCTACTTGCCTGCTTGACCCTTTCACAAGTGAAATATATATCTACATTCTTACTCAAGCAGGAAACTGGTTTCATTTCCTGCTACACTATGAGTTGGTTTATCTCCTTATAAAGAGCACATTGTGAAAGAAAGCTCTAATGGCCATTGTAGCTGTAGGGGTCTTTGGTGCAAGAAATTCTGGCAATTTCAGTCAGAGCCCTGCTGTGCCAGTCACAGCAGCCTCTGTACCTGCTCCAGGCTTGTGGTTTCCTTCTTCCCAATGCTCCTCCCCAATCAGCCTTTTCCTGAACCAGCAGTTCCATGGGTGGCCAGGGGAGGCCTCTTCTGTATCCCAGGAGAACCTAGGAAAATGTGAAGCCCTCACCGCTGCCGGAGCCACTCCCTGGGCTCAGCGGCCGGCTGTTAGCATGTGCAGGCTGGGATACTGTGTGCAGGCAGCCTGCATGTGCAGGATATGATGTGCGCTGTGAGCGGAATGGCGTGGCCCCATTCCTGCCTCCCTTTCCCTGCTGATCCAGTGGTCGAAAGGGGCTGTGGCTGCTGCTGACTGGGCAGAAGCTGGGTAGCAAGATGCTGGCAGCAAGAGATTCCAGCTGCTGGTTTCCCCTGGGTCTCAGTGCGCCATGTCGACCGCCAGCCACCTTGACCAAACCTCAAACCAGCTGGACTAGCCAGCCCACATCACAGTGAGTCGCTAGTGGCCCTGTCAGAGAAGAGCCCTTGGCACCTGCAGAGACATCCCTGCAACTTTCTGAGGCACCTTTCTTGAAAGGGCCACTTGTGAGCTGTATTTCCATAGGCAATTACTAACACTAGCACCTACTCAAGTTCTCTGTATTTCCACTGATTTCTTCCTATTCTGTGAAACTCCACACAACATAACAAGTGGCAACAAGGGTAGGATACCTGTGCTGCCTCCAGGAACAAAAAAGTAGAAGTCAATGTAAGAAAACAAACATTTTTTTGGCTGTTCTGGAAGGTGGGGGTAAGAACTGACAGCTACACTGTGCAAACTGAAACTAAGATCAGTGGAAATACAGAGAGCTTGAGTAGTTGCTAGTGTCCATTTTATTGCAGAGCACAGAACTAACTAGAACAAGGCCAAGTGACCTAACTCAGTTACTATAACAACAAGATCTATATCTACAACACATACTGCCAGCTGTCTGTTTCACATACTGGCATCCATTATGCCCTGGCTGGTTTGCATGTTCCCAGATGCATTCCTCAGGTGTGTATTGGGCATCTTGAGAGCCATTGTGCTTACGGTTGTGCTAGTTAGCATCATCATTCATTGGTCATTCCTTCCTCATGACAGGCAGTCCAGGCCCAATACCAGCACAGAGAGCATATTCATAACTCCGCATACAGAGATCATACAAGCACATGAAGAGCACACATAGACTCAGTAAAACAGAAGCTTTTATTTGACACCTCACATGGCCCCCTTTGTACAGACTTTGGGGCAAATACCCCGCTGTGGGCGCAGCAGTGATCTGGCTGCTCCCCTTAAAATCCAATAATGTGATAAAGGTGCAACCCTGTTTATTTACACACCCACCCTCACTCAGAGTGATGGGTGGAACTTCCTGCGGATTTGCAGAATCTTTTACCACTGAAAGAGCCTTACAGAGTAATATCCTTATCCTCTATTTATTGACAATTCTCAAGCAAGCAGAGTACAGTGTCATGCTCACCATTCCTGGTACAGGCAGGCAGACTTCCCCTGTTGGCCAGGCAAGGTCAGTCACTCTGGATCTTAGCTGCTACATGTCGCGGTCGTGCAGCAGAATCCTGGCAGTTCTGGTCTTAGGTCAGGTGTGGGCCAAAGGGCTCCTGTGGGCCAGATACAGCCCACCACGTGGGTTGATTTGGCCCACAGAGGCCCTGCTGCTCCCCTGCCCCCAGGCCAATCAGGACTTGGGGATGAGGGAAGCATACGAAATTTCCTCCCCATGTCAGGAGCGTGCAGCGCTTAGAAGCACCACATGCTCCTGGCAGGATGGGAGGAGTCTTTGCATGCTCCCCTGCCCCCAAGCCCTGATTGGCCTGGGGGCAGAAGGGAGCGTGTGTGAAGTCTCCTCCCGAACCGGGAAATGGGCCCCTAGGGGAACCTCTGTGGGGGGACAAAGACTTTATGCTCAGCGCTTAGAAGCACCACGTGCTCCTGGCAGGACGGGAGGAGTCTTTGCATGCTCCCCTGCCCCCAAGCCCTGATTGGCCTGAGGGCAGAAGGGGGCGTGCGTGAAGTCTCCTCCCACTCAGGGAAATGGGTGCCTAGGGGAACCTCGGGCGGGGGGAGGGCAAAGACTTTATGCTCTCCCCCATCCCCAGCCCAATCATAGTCTGTGGATGGGGAAGCAGGGAAGTATCCTGACCCTTCTGCTTGAGGCCCCAGCCCTTCAGATGTGGCCCGAGGCAAAAAATGTTTGCCCACCGCATCTTAGATGCCATGTCTTGGAGGGGAGTTCGTCTTCCAGGTCTTCCCCCTTCTTCTTGGTGTTCCTTTCTGTTCTTGTTTCCCTTTTGCTTTTCTTGCTTTACCCCTTTCTTCTTCTGTCCTTTTGCTTCTATTACTTTTGCTTGCTTGTCTCCTTCTTGGACCCCAGTTTATATAGTGAAATCTGAATTCTGCTTACCTTAACCAATTATTTTAGTATAATTTTACTAACCAATAATAACATATGGTAACAGAATTGCCTAACCAATCACACTCTACCACCTTGGTTGATTTTCACCTAGCAAAATTAACTATATAGCACAAAGAAACCGATACAAACCAGACAGATGCCACAACTATTGATAAGCAGTGTTTTGCCAGACAAAATACAGTTAAGTAAGTTTTCCCTGCCCATCTTGAGCTCTGTTTCTTATCTGGTGACAGTGCGTGCTATTAAGATAGAATCCCCTTCTCAGAGCCTAGTGTGACACTCATGCAATTTAGACAGAATGTGAGCATGTGGCTCCTGGCTTTACAACTAATGGCTGCTGCTCTTCAGTCTGGCTGCAGAAGAAGGCGGTAGTCTAGGCCTACCAAATAGCTACAGGCTTTCCAGTACGGCTACCGAAAAATCATCTTGTTACAACCTCTGCCTGTCCCCTGCCCGGCTGTTAGTTCTGCCCCTGCCCAGCCCCCACCTTTGCTCCTCTGCTCCTCCTGGAGCCCGAGGGGGTCTTCTCTTGCAGGGATGGAGGGGAGCAGCTTCCATACGTCATAGAGATGAGGAGCAGGGGCTAGGCAGATGGGACTCCAAGGTTCTAGAGACTGGGCGGCGTGAGGCCTAGAGAGGCTGATCTCAGGGACAGTCAGAGCTGGGATTTAAACCCCACCCAGAACCACGGTCGGATTCTCTCCTCAGGGAGGGAGCCCGGCGGGAAAGTGAAGATTGGGGCCTCAGCATCAGCATCGATAAAAGTCACCTGCCCCCGGTCACAGTCCAGACAAACCCGGATCCTGTGGGGAGTGCTCAGTTGCAGTGGGGTCACCTCAGGGTCAGTGAGAGCCTGGAAGAAACCCCCCCACCACTGTACAGCCCAGATCCCCTCCTCAGGGCTACGACTGATCCGTCCCTTCCTGCTCACAGACTCTCTGGCCACCCCCACAGCCCAATCTTTCCTATCCCCAGACTCCACCTCCCAGCAATCTCTCCCCAAGCACAACCTAGCACACAGTACACAGAGTCAAATCTCTCCGGGTTGTCGAGCAGTGGCTGACATGTACGTTCCCATTTCACACTTTTCCAATCCTCAGACAGGACGAGGTCAGGATTTGCCGTGTCTGGATCCAGAGTCACCATTGCTGGGGAGAGAGAATCAGGGTGTGAGGGGCAGAGCTTAGCCCTGGGGGCAGCGGGGGCCATTTCTCACCCTCCCCAGCAGCCCTGTTGTATCTGGGACAGGCCTGGGCCCCAGGGAGTTGCCTCTGACGTGGGTCCCTAGGCTATGTCTAGACTATGGAGTTTTTCTATCTCTGATGCATCCAGAAAACAGGTCTGCTCTTCTGACACTTTTGTTGGAAGAGCAGATGCATTCTCTTGGAAGACCTGCATTCCTCATTTCATTCCGTGTAGGAGGCCAAATTTCAGAAAAACATTTTCCAAAAAAACAATCGGAAAAATGTGCACAAATTGCAGAGCACAGTTTCCATACCTTTTTTGAAGAAAAAAAAATGTAGTGAAGACCTAGCCTGAGACTAAGCCGAGCTGTCACTGGGCCTCAGCCTGGGCAATGGGACCCGCTTCATTAGTTTCTCATTTGTGTGCAGAGGCTGCAGCCTCCTGCCCCCAGCTCGGGCTGCTCCATCCCCAGGGCCAGGCCTAGAGCAGGAGGGTCCAGTGGGTTACCCCCCCAGGGGGAACCCCCCCCCCCTGCTGCAGCCTCCACCCCCTGCCCAGGGCACAGAAGGGAGGGAGCAGCGCGGGGGAAGAGCCGCCTCACCCCAGAGAGCAGGGCCTGGGCATTAGTCACCCCCAGGGCAGTGGAGGGTCCAGGGCTCTTCAGGGCAGCCGGGCTCAATGGGGGAAGCCCAGCTCTGGCTTCTGGCCTGGCCGGGGGCAGGGCCTCTGGGGAAGAGGATCTGGGGTGGGGTCTCACCCCAGAGAGCAGGGCCTGGGCATTAGTCACCCCCAGGGCAGTGGAGGGTCCAGGGCTTTTCAGGACAGCCGGGCTCAATGGGGGGAGTCCAGCTCTGGCTTCTGGGGTCACTGGGAGGGGCAGCACAGGGCAGAGGCTGGTGCCCAAGGAGGGGCTGCGCTGATCAGCTGCCCCGACACAAAGCGCAGCCCCTGCCTGCAAAGTCCCCTGCCCGCAAACTGTGCCAATATTAAAATGTGTGGAGGAGTCCAACCATCCCATTTCTTAAAGGACATGCTCCCTTGTCCTTCTGATCCACCGCCCCTGGGGCTCCTCACCGCTCAGTGGCCAGGTTTGGGGCTCTGCCTGTCATGGTCGCTGGGGGTTTGGTTGGTGACTTGAGCTACAAGCTCAGGAAGGTGTTTTCAGTCTCCATTTAAAACCTCACCCTGTCTGAAAGCTCCCAGGAAGTTCCCTCCTCCTCCTTCCAGGACAGGGGGCAGCTTGTCTGGTGGGGGAAGGAGTAAGAGAGGTGAGATTTCACAAGTCCATATTGTGCACAACATCCCCAATACTAACACACAGACCTGGGTTTTCATTATAGCAGACACACACTTGGGCTGTGTCTAGACTCGCCAGTTTTTCCGGAAAATTAGCCTATTTCTGGAAAAACTTGCCAGCTGTTTACACTGGCCGCTTGAATTTCCGCAAAAGCACTGACTTCCTACTGTAAGAAATCAGTGCTTTTTGCGGAAATAACGTGCTGCTCTCATTCAGGCAAAAGTCCCTTTTGCGCAAAACTTTCTGTAGACAGCTCAGATTTGTTTTGCACAAAAAAGCCCCAATCTCAAAAATGGTGATCGGGGCTTTTTTGCGGAAAAGCGCATCTAGATTGGCCACAGACACTTTTCCGCAAAAAGTGCTCTTGAGGAAAAGCATCCGTGCCAATCTAGACACTCTTTTCCAAAAATGCTTTTAACAGAAAACTTTTCTGTTAAAAGCATTTCCGGAAAATCATGGCAGTCTAGAAGTAGCTTTGGGGCATGTCTACACTGCAGAGAAGATCGAGGCTGCTGCTGTCGATCTCCCAGGATTTGAATTAGCAGTTGAGTTAAAACAGCTAATTGAACAGAGGGGCGTTTCTGTAGATCACTGTTTCCCCTCAGATGCTTTATTGACTCTCCCCTCCCCAATTCCTTCTAGGTACCTGTGAACTCCCTCAGAGTCTCTGACAGCACAGTGGTTTTCTGGGAGAAACACCTGACTTGTTCTTCCAGTTCAGTGTCAGTCTGGAGCCTCCCAGTCTCCTCGTCCAGCTTCTCCAGCTGGGCCAGCAGGAGTCGCTTTTGTTTCCCCAGGAACTGCGGCAACTGCTGAAACTCGGCCACAATCTTCTGCCTCTCGACTTGTGTCTGTTTCTGTGTGAAAACAGGGAACGGGCTGGTCGGGGACATGGATGGAGCCCGGGGCCCTTTCATGAGGAGCTGAGTGCGCAGCAGGGAGAACTTAGCAAACCAACAGATTTCTGACACTTGGCTCCACCCTATGGGTACTAGGCTGAGGCGTCTCGGTTTCCCCTTTGGCCCCTGTATCCCTCTGAAAGAGATGTTTCCATGTTTCCGCTGGCGGAGGATTTCTGGGAAAGCCACCAGGGCTGGACATTAACTTATCCCCTGCCATGGAAGTTCAGGGCCTGTCCACAAGGACCACCAAGATCATGGAGAAACTCAGGATGCTAACTAGTGGTTAACTAGTGGTTAATTGTCTAGTTGAGTAGTCGATGGAATTTCCATCGACCACTCGATTAGTTGATAGGCACTCCTGCATTCCTCCTGTTAAATGTAAAAGAGCTCCCGCTGCGGTTCTAGTACATTTCAGAAGAGGAATGCAGAACTCCGCATGCAGCCCAGGGCAAGTAGGAAGTCCCGCTGACTCCGGGCTGCAGGTGGGTGCCAGCTTTGAAATACACAAGAGTCCCCAGCGGGAGTCAGAGTCCTCTGCTGACCCCGGGCTCCATGCTGCACTGCTGCTTTGAAATGCCACGTAGAACCCGAGATCAGCTGAGGAGTCCTCAGCTGACCCCGGGCTCCACATGCGCAGCGATGCTCAGCTGAGCCTGGAATCAGCTATGCAGCACTGCCACTTTGAAACACCGAGCCAGGGATGAGCTCAGCAGTGCTGCCCCTTTGAACGCTGCCTTGGTGTTTCAAACCAGGCCTAGCTGTGCATCTCTGCTGCTTTTAAGTCCCCCTTTTTCCCCCTGCACTTTGCTGCCTCTATCTGCTGTCTACACAGCTCCTTTTTGCGCAAAAGCCTCTTGCTCAAAAGCGGATGCTAATTAATGATGCAAATGAAGCACAGCGATGTTCCACACTGTGCTTCAGTTGCATAAGTTGTTCCAGAAGAAGGCTACAGTGTAGCCTTAGCTGAGGAGACTGAGGCTGCAGCAGGACACCTGTAAGGGTGGGGGCAGGAGGGGGCGGCACCTCCAGAAAGAATGATGTAGGTGGGGATGGTCTGACAGAGGCAGGGACAGGCCCACAGAGGCCGACCAATGCAGGTGGGGGAGGCCCGGCAGGCAGGCGTGGGCATGTCCTGTGTTCTGCGGATGGGTCCGTGACTCCCTTAATTAAAGAGGCTGATTTTTTTTCAGGGTGGCTGAGGTTTTCCCCAGCG